CGGGTGACGTCATGGGGAAGGCGGGGCTCAGGTGGGGCCGGAGGTCACGGGCGTGTGCCTGCCGCGGGCAACTGAGTGCTGGGTTTGGTGGAGAAGGAGGAAGCTGCGGGACGAGGGAGAAAAATCCCCCTAAAAGGAAGAAATGCTGCAGTGCGAGCTTACCTTACATCACGTCCGGGAACCCACGCTTCGGCCAGGGTCGGTCAGGGTTCTGCTTTCTGGGTTTTTTTTTTAAATTCCTCCTGCTTGCCAGTAGTTCGGATATTGGCAAGCGCTTTTTCTTTTCTCTCTCCCCGTGCTCCCACGCAGAGTCTTGGATGGCTAGTGCAGGCTGAGCTCACAGCCACTGGAGAAACAGTCAGCCAGCCACAAGGCCTAAATCCATAGGAAGGCTGGGCTTCATTAATTGTGTTGAGCCTTCCTGATTTCTTTCAAAGCACGCATTTCACTTGTTGCAGGATTCAAACTGGAAAGGCTAAAGAACACACTTTAAAAGTGCCAGATTTAAGAAAGAATATATCTGTGTTGACAGGGAGTTCCTGCAAACCGTAAAGGTCTCATGGAAGAACGCGAAGGCAGTCTGTTTAAAAAATAGCACCTGCAGTTGAAGGTTTTTAGTATGGGAGGATTAAGTTTGCTTTCTGGATTTTGTTTGGGACAGGGCTCCAGCTGTCATCCCTTAAAGGTGGGAAGATTTCAACTAGTCTCCATGTCTGACATTTGCTTCAGTTGGAGCCATTCCTGCCATGGACAGTGAGAGATTATGTTGGCTTTTTCCAAGCCAGACCATCAACAGCAACCAATCTGCAAGGGCTTCAGTCCTTGTCCAAGAAAACCATTTTTCAGGCTACCCGTCCTGAGCTACTGCTGCAGAAATATCATGCTGGGGAGCGGGGAAAGAGCCAAAAAGGATATGAAAATCAGAGGGTTGCCACCTGTTCTGGTTTCCTCTGCTGTGGTGGTTAGTGATGCTGTGCTGAAGAGAGCTCTGCCATTTTCTCAACAGGTTTCTCTGCACTGGGCCTGGATGGAGTCGTCCTATGAGCTATAGCTGCTCTCACATTGACCTCAACAATGGCCACATTGAGCAGTTTTGGATATAGTGATACGGGAAGCTTTTTCTTCTGCTGTAAAAATGTTTTAATTCACCTACAAGGAGGTGAAAAGGCAGTGGTCATGTCAAAGATTTATTGATATTGTTGTTTATTGATAATAATACACAAAACCTTTTTAAGATAACAGACACAAAAACATTACCATGGACTTCAAATAGTATAAAATCTTACCAGCTTATTAGATAAGAAACTACAGGATGTATTCATAGAAGCTAGATCCCTTTGGGGAAACTTGAGAGAAAAAGAAGAGAGATGATATTTTTTTCAATTCTTCATTTTCTCTACAGGTAATATCTCCAAATACTTCATTAAACTGTCTTACCGATTTTTCTTTTTGCTTTGAAATAAGAGCAACATTAGCATATATTTTATCTGCTTGGTTAGAATGAAACGTTATTAGAAATAGCTCAGTTAAACATTATTACTTAGCTTATTCGTCTTAAAGGATGGGCAGCTTTTTCACTGACCTCTTTTTTGTCCTTGCATTGTCTGTAACAAAGTTCAACTTCCCACATAGCAAAGGTATGAGGAAGTGAGTGGCTACTCGCAAGCTTGTCCCCCTCCGCTTCTACTGTTAGTTTTTCTGCCAGCGTAATACGTTTTATTTCGAAATGTTCAAAGTCGACTAGAAAATCATTGCATTTGCTTGCTACAAAGGTGGACTAAGGGTCTGACATCATTTCACTGCTAGGCATAGCAACACATACAGCACATTTGGCTCTATATTACATCAAAATTGTTAGCATGTTTACAACAAAACTCCAGCATAGTTAATTCCTAAAGCTCTGTGTGTTAAAAGCCGGGGTGGTCGGTCAGTTTGGGGCAACACAGAGCATCTTTTTGAGGGCTTGGCCTCAGTGTGGCTGCGGGAACCGAAGACATTAACGACAACGATGGAGGAGGCACAGACACCAGAGCTGATAGTAGGAGATGTGCGTGCCCAAAACACTCGCTGGGAGCCGGCTCCTCTCCTCGCAGCCCCCAGGCGGTGACGACGGGG